TAAATGAACATTATAACGTCTGCTAAGGATCGACGACGTACAGTTATTGTATGCGTCTACAATGAAACTAGTAGCAGTCTGGTATTTAGTTTTGGTTCCGGTGCTTTGCCTCGCTCAAGACAACAGGCCCACCGAGTGTTACGATTGTGCAATCGCGTGCAAAGATCCCATGAATAGTTTCGAGTGTACAAACGATACCGTAGCATGTACAATAAAGCTTTATAAAAGAGGTAAATATAATAATAATTATACATTTACTGTGTTGGTAAATGAACTATTTGTAGATGATGGTACGGTAGACCAATTGAGATATTGCGCTGATCACGAGTACCTTACAAAAAAATGCGTCAACAACACTGAGCAGAGCTGTTACTATTGTTACACCAATTTGTGCAATTGGGAAGATTTATATTTCGAAGAAGCCAGTTCGTCACAAATGCATTTGTTGTCATATATCCTTTATTGTATACCTTTGTTTATTATTTTAATAAAATTCCAATAGTGGAAACAAAATTATTCTTTATGACGATGCAGTGTTTCCGAATGGTGGTGCAAGTGTTGTATGAAACAGCTAAAAGCTAAGAACAAGTTAACTAGGATTTTTGTATTTTAAATTCACTTTGATACTTTGATGTGATGTAAACAGCCTTATATGAGCAAAACCTCTAAAAAATAGCCACTGCCAATTTGGTAAGAGTAAATGAGGACCGGAGAAACATGTTTATACATTTATTTACATATATGTACCTATGGATATAGCAGCGCACGTCGGCATCATGAACAACTATGGGAGTATACATCGTCCCAGGGGACATCTCCTGTTTACATCAGCCTCGATCTCAGTGCCACCTACATTAATTAGTACTTCCCTATTCCTCAGCATACCTGTCAGTCCTGTTACCCACATACTCACCATGGAATTCACTTCGTGTTCTTGTAGGGCCAGTTCTATGCTTTTGAATGTCGTTTTATCGATATAGGCATGTTAGTTCAGACGTAGAGGTTGCTTGTTTAAGGCGGTCTCCCGAATCTCTTTTTCGCTTAGTCTTTCTAGCGTTTTCAGCAAGCATGATTTTAAGCTAATTGGTCTGTAGGATTTGACCAAGGTATAATCTTGTCGTCCTGGCTTAGGTATAAAGATAACCTTTACTTTTGGCCATACATTCGGTATCTAGCTGAAAGCCACACACGTCCGAAGCATTCGTACTAACAAGATAAGGCGTAGTCTGCTCATTCTACTCTGCAGGAGAGCGGGATAGATACCGTCCACTCCCGGAGATTTATATGAGGAAAAGCTGCCAACTGCCCACTCCACTCTTGCCTCCATGACTACCTTTGCCGCCAGCGCAAAGCTTAAGTACCGGCTACATCCCATCTGGAATGGAAGGTAGTCCTTGTGCTACCTGAAAACATAGTCTGCAGCAAAAGTTCTGCGGACTCTTCTAAGGTGGCTCTTTCTTTTGGAAACCTGGTTCTCTCTTAATTCTTTCTTAAAGTATTTCGTTTTCTTAGTGTTTTTTGCTCTATTGAAAAGTTTTCTTAGCTCCGATTAAAGTAGGCTGAGTCTTCGGTTGCACCATAGTGTACCTTTGCCCAGGCCTTCCTTCTTTAGAGGGCAACTTTTCTCATAAACTGACATCAGAGAGTCGTTGATAATAGTCAAAGTTTTCTCTATGTCTTCTGTCGATTTATATTCTATTGGTATCGCCTGTGCGGAGGTCCCCAGTCTGTCTTCCAGTTCTTCATTGTATAAAGCCCAGTTCGTGAGCCTAGGGTTTGTCTTTATGTCTATACATTTTAACGAATACATAATCCATTTATGGTCTGGCACTGACGCCTCTTTAGAGACTGCCATTCCATTATATCGGGTGTCTGGAAAATGGCGGATTAACTCTTCAGTACGTTATATACGGGGGTTTCGGGAGTCCCAAAAAAATTATAAAAACATTCTTTTTGATGTAGATTACGAAAAAAACGTAATTTTATAAAAGTAAAATTGGCTGCTACTTTTAAAAGTTTACGAACCGCTACACTAAGGGCCGGTTGCATAAACGCAAATCAAATTTAATCTCTGATTAACTCCATAGTAACGATTGTTATTATCATAGTTACAATTGTTCTTAATCAGAGATTAAATTTGATTTGCGTTTATGCAACCGGCCCTAAATGAGTGTAAGTAAAGTAGTCTAGTTACGATAAACACACATAAAAAAGTACCTATGTACAATATCTAGAAAGCTTATTTATTTGAAAACTTGTCAATACATACTGACATTTGCAAAAATTTAAGTAAAGTGGTCTTTCCAAATTGCTACTAAATATAACGTCTGCTGAGGATCAAGTACAATTCTGTGCCTCTACAATGAAATTATTTATGGAACTCTGCTATATAGTTTTAATTGCGGGGTTTTCCCTAGCTCAAGAAGAAAAAGAAGAAGAAGAAAAAGAACCCACCGTATGTTATAGTTGTAACGGGGTGTGCCAAAACACCGTCGATACAGAAAAATGTAAAAGAATCGAAAACTATACCCAAGTATGTATGGCAAGTATTCATAAAGAATGTAAATATAATAATTACACCCTTACTGTGTTGGTAAATGAGCTACTTGTAGATGATGGTAAGTTCAGCGAATTCAGAAGTTGCGCTGACCACAAGTACACTCCCCCAAAAATGTGCGTCAACCACACTAGGAGGAAGTGTTACCAGTGTTATACCAATTTGTGCAATTCGGTAAAATTAGCTTTCGAAGAAACCAGTTCGTCGCAAAAAAAGCCTTCGTTGTCTTATGGCCTTTATTATGTACCTTTCTTTATTATTTTACTAAAATTCTAATAATAGAAACAAAATTATTCTTTATGATGATGCAGTGTTTTGAACGTTGTGCGAAACAGGAAAATAGTAAGAACAAGTTTTGTCGGATTTCTGTATTTTAGATTGACTTTGACGCTTTCCTGTCTAAACAAAATTTCTAAAAAGTTGGTCAAATGTCAATTTGACAGAACTTCCCTCGGCTAAATATGTATACAGTCCAAAGTCCAACAATTACAGCCAGGCTGATTCTCACATTTTCGTGAGGATGAAAATATTTTGATCATTTCTTCTCAGTAACCACACAAACGTATCCGAAAATTACGTTAAAATGGGTCGTTGTTTCTATAGTTGGATTTTTCAAGAATTAGTATATGTATATATCGTCGTCTTCGTTGATTCACTATTTTAAAGTCTCTCCAATTAGTTACAATCGTCCGACTTGTCAAAAGGGAAAATATCAAAAGATGTCACCCCCTTCGGGAGTTACAGGAACCTGTAATTAATCCGTTTTGTCACGCACCAAAACAGTTTGTGCTTGAATTGATATTATCAAAATGTCCAAAAAATATTGCTCTGTGCCTGTTTGTGGGGTAATCAAGGATGCTAGAGACCACAAAATGATGCACAGATTCCCTTCAAACACTGTGAACAAAAAGTTGTGGTGCAAAAAGGTTTTTAATGCTACAAGTAGGTACCCCAACATGAATCTTTTACCTAAGGGAATGTATAGCCATTAAAACCATTTCAGGTGATAATATTGCCAATAATTTATACATTTGTGGTAAACACTCTTGAGAGAAATTGTTATTATTCAAATAAAAGACTTAAACCCGGCTCTGTTCCTACTTTGTTCCTCCATGGTTCCAAGTCACCGCTACCTGTTCCTACTTCTTCAAGCTACCCAGCAAGCACTAAACGTGATCCAGAATGCAACTTCATAATTCCTGTGACACATTCCGATAACAATGTAAACATCTCAAAGAAAAATTTTCCTACTGCATATCCCTTTGAAGACCATCCACGCCCATGGCGTTGTGACTTTGGCACCGGTATCGAAATTTTGCCTCTTTTTCGAGTAAAAACCGAAATACATGATGTCAAATTGTGTCAAAAAGTCAGACCATGACAGACATTTAGCCGACATTACAGATTCCTTTCCCTCCCGACGTATGCGCCCTCACATGTCACATTTAAGGAATTGGAGAGACTTTAATAGTGAATCAACGAAGACGACGGTATATATAGTATTTCCACCGATAGATTAGCTGACAGAAATGTCACCAAAGAGACCGCTATAAAAAGTAGTACCAAAGGCGCTTTATTTGAAATATAAGTAGATTTGAAAATAATGTTGAACTACGTAAAATTACTTTTAATAATAACACAATTTATTTCCAACAGACAATATTATCTACACTGGAACATACACTTCAAATAACATTACGTACTTTATATTGAAGTAACAACCTCTGTAGGGCTTCTTAAATTAAAATTCTCCTTCTAGAAAAATGAATACGCATTGGCAATCATTTTCTGTGCCACGATGTTGTCAATAACAGTCATATTGCACCAGGTTGAAGAGGGCTACAAAATATAATGGTATATAATTATTGCACAGAATAAATCAACAACTCACTCTTGCGTAATTATGAATTTTATTCGTAATGTTTTCCATGGGGTCCATATGAAACGTTTTTTGACACAAACAACTTAACCTAAAATGTCCAAACTTCAGCCACTATACAAAAAACAGCACAAAGGTCTATAATATCATATCTAACAAATCAAAGCAAGTAAAAAAACACAAACACTAAACGCAAAAAACACAATTTTTAACTTTTTGAATCAAAATTTTAAATTAACGTCAATCAGCTAATCGTCCAAAACACAGGTTAAACGAAACCGGCCGACTGGCGCAGGCATAGAGGCGTAGGAAATTCGTTGCGCGGGAAAAGGAACGTTGGTTGCCAACTTAAACTACAACTCTTTAACTGCTTTAACCGTATAATGTTAGTATATTTTGGATTCTCCGATTGGCGATTGTGAATTCAAAATTTTCCAATCTATCGCTGGAAATAGTATATATACATCTATGATGTACTTAAACCTATATACATATAACTTATAAACAATTTAGTGACTACTGACATAATAAACAAAATACTACCGCTAATGTCACTGTCAGATTACAACTGTTTTGCAAAAATTTATGAACTATGGCAAAGCTGCTAAGAAAATTTGCGCTGCTGATGTGGAAAAACTGGCTCGTGCTGAAGCGACATCCTTGGGTTCTAATCGGCGAGATCATTTACGTTCTGTCCGTACTAGTTTTAATATATCTTCTCCGAAGAGATTATAGTGTTTCCGAGCAGGAGACCTACTATGGGTACCCGCAGGAATTGGACTGGCGCTCTTTCACAAGTTCTGGATGCGCTTCAGGCGATTCTAAACAAATCGCTTACTCTCCAACCAGCCCCTTATTGCACCGAATGATGGTGTCAAGTTGCACCAGGGAAAATTTAACGATTCTGGAATTTGACACGAAAGCAGAGTTGTCGGAAAAGATCAGTACAGACAATCAATTCGTAGCTGGTTTGAATGTTGCTTTAGAATTTAGCGACAATTTGCGCGGAATCAACGAGAGCAAGGATGTCCCTGATGATGTGGAAGTTACTATAAGGTACCTACTAAGAATGTAATTATGCAGTATTTTCTTCGATTGATTACTTTTCAGACTACCTCACAAGATAGACATTTCAGACAAGTGGTATTCGGATCGTCTGTACTCATATGTAAGTAATATGTGGGGGAGCTCAGGACAATATGGTAAATGGAAACAAATATTTCTAGAAAAGTGGTTTATTCACTGTAATTTTCAGCATACGAGCGGAAGTTTTTAAGATTACAAAGTTATATAATGTTCTTCTTGGCGCATGACGTTGATTATATTGAAAATTTTCCAACGGACAACACAATAGTTTCTGTTTCCTTTCCACGTCCAGCCATATTGTACGATGAATTTTTTGGTTGGTAATTTAAATACAGGTATAAAACAGTCCAAATGTAACAACTGATTCTAGGCGAAGAAAACCTATCCGAACCGACTTTTATTGCACTCATAATCTGTCTCTTCGTCTATAACCACCTCGTTACAATTAAAAAGGTCGCATCAGAAAAAGAGAAACAATTAAAAGTACGACGTCTCTCTGTTCGCGTCTCACACCCTCATCCCTACATCGTGTGTTACAGGAATCGATGAAAATAATGGGTCTCCCCGGATGGTTGCAGTGGCTGTGCTGGTTCCTCCAAGCTTTGTTATTCAACACCGTCTACATAGTCCTCCTGCTATGCATGTACACTTACATCGACCCTCCCATATTCGTTTACTCGAACGGTTGCATATTATTCTTGTTCTTCTTTCTCTACGCGTTCAGTTTAATCAGTCTTGCGTTTCTGATCAGCACTCTGTTCGCAAAAGGTGAATCGCTACAAAAACGTACAAACAGCAAACTAAAGAAATGTTACAGCCAACGCCAACGTCCTCATCGGATGCTTCATCTTGCTCATTGCTATCTTTGCATACTACTCCATGGTGAACAGACCAGAGGAAAAAGGCGCTTCGGCACCGATAGTACTACTGACGAGTCTGTTGCCTACTTCGGCACTAGGTTTCGGAATGCAGATCATTTTTATCTACGAAAGGATTCAAAAAGGTGATAAACCATAAACGAATCCAACGTTTTCATTTGAGATCGTAGGAGTCAACTGGCACAACGTTGCTACTAAACCAATTCCGCTAGACGTATCGCTTCGGGACATAATGTTGATGTTGCTAGCAGATGCAATTCTGTACATGTGCCTGGCTCTGTACATAGAAATAGTCTTTCCTGGTGAATATGGCGTACCGCAGCCTTGGTACTTTCTGTGTTTGCGTTCCACCTGGACAAGCAAGCCTACCTATCTCAGTCAGTACATCCAGCAGCACCTTGCTGTAATAGAGACGGAGTTCTTAAAAACTACTTCTTTAAAGGAAGAAGACAGGTAGAGCAGTCCGCCACATCTAATCGGGAAAGCTTCGAACAAGTCGCCGGCAACAGACCGGTGGGGATACAGCTGGTGAATCTGACGAAAACGTTCGGAAGCCACCAAGCCATCAAAAATTTAAATTTGGAATTCTACCAAGGCCAACTCACTGTTCTGGTGGGTCACAACGGCGCTGGCAAAACTACGACCTTGAACGCGATCACGGGAATGTTACCTCCGAGCGGAGGAACGGTGTACGTTAATGGCTACGACGTAAGGAAAAACATCACGAAGGTTCGAGACGGGATGGGACTTTGCCTCGAACACAACGTTCTCTTCGACGAATTGACCGTTACCGAGCATCTGCTTTTTTTTTCTAAACTCAAAGGACTGGATGGTAAAGAGGCGGTAAGTGACGTTGACAAATACGTCAAGGCGCTGCAGCTGGAGGAAAAAGTAAGAGGTGAAACTGGTTTCGTGCTGGTACTAAAGGACGTTTGTAGAGAAACAGTTATCCAAGGACATTGTCGGGAGGGATGAAGAGGAAAGTAAGTGTAGCTGCAGCGCTCTGTGGACCGACGAAAGTGGTGATTCTGGACGAACCCACCAAAGGCATGGACCCGTCATCGAGGAGGGAGGTTTGGAATTTATTACAAGAAATAAAAGGAGGTAATTACTAACGGAGAAACCTGTATTTGTTTCCAGAAAAAAGATGGCTTCATCACATTTTTTCTTTTAAATCACTCTTGACTTATAGTCAGGTTTCGATTTACTGAACTTTGCTGATATTCTTGGTATTGAGTGTTGTTGTGATTATTCCACTTTCTTTATCTTTGTGATTTACATTCCTCCTAATTCTCCAGTAGATGATTAACATGTAATTTATTAATATTTCGGATTATGAATTTTAATTCTCTTTGTACGACTCTTGGTAACAATAGATTATCATCCCTCAATACATTTTCAAGTTTGTTAAATTTTGCATAGTATAATAATATTCCGAATATCAATGGTAGATATCTCGACCTTGTTATTTCCAACTCACCTTATTGTTCTATCACTCATTGTGATAACCTCTGTTTACCATGATGCCCTGATGGGTGGTTACCAGGGTGGAAACATACTAACAACTCACTTTCACATCTTTATTTCACTGTTCTTTACTACACTAACAATAACTACTTCTATCACTCTACTTCTGCTTCTCCTTCTCCCAATTCATACACACGCCTTAAATAAACTAAATATTGCTAACTCTACTATTTCATTAACCTAAACATTATGCCACCTGATTTCGCCAGAGGGATGTACGGAAGTTGGCAGTTTGTTAACATTGCAACATTTCGTTTGTGTTTTCGACACTACCGCATTCCTTACACCTCTCCCGGTGGGCGAAAAAAAAAAAAATTTGTTTACTAATAATAGTAACCTAACCTACCCAGCTAACCTATGCTAAATCTTATTAACTATTTAACATGAATCTATTATTAGAATTACAAAACAATTTTTTTCTTTTGATAACATTATTTTGAAATTTGCTAATGACTATATAGTTCCTTGCTTTTTACAGTTCTTAACTACGATATACTTTCAGTCTGTCTTTGTGAATACGCACTGGTTTGTCTTTCACTTTCACTATTGCGTTAGAACCTTCGTCACGAATCACTTCATATGGTCCCTTGTATACCGCATCACTTTTGTCACTCAAAGGGTTCCGCATTAACACTTTATCACCTTTCTTAAAACTAAATTCCGCCCTAACTAAATCACATTTTTCTTTTCTACGACTCTTCGACTGTATTAAATTGTATCGTGCATCATCCCAAGCAACTTGTAACCTGTACTTTAATTCTTTCGGATAGTCGTCAAAATTATAGATAGGATCAACTTTGGTTGTAACATTAGATGGTAGTTGAGCGATTTTACCAAATACCAGTTCGTATGGCGTATAACGAGTTTCTGTGTGGACTGTATTATTATAGGCAAAGCACCAATATTGCACCCAAGAACCCCAGGTGTCCCAATTTTCTGATGCTTGAATTCTCAAATACGCGCCTAGATGTTTATGAGAGTTTTCCAAAGCACCTAGCGTCTGATGGTGATAAGCTGTAGCGTTTAATTGCTGTATATCAAGTAACCTACAAGTTTCTTTGAATATTCCCGACATAAATTCTGTACCTTGATCCGATATTATCGAATTTGGAATACCAAAACGCAAAATAAAATTTTCAACAAAAGCTTTGGCTACGGTCTCTGCTTCTTTATTTCGAATCGGATAGCACTCTACATATTTGGTTAATTCGCACTGAATAGTCAAGATGTATATATTATTATTACTATCAGGACGTAAAGGACCTACTAAGTCAAGAAAAACTTTCTGAAAAGAACTGGATGCTGTTGTAGTAATTTCTAGTGGTTGTTTCTTTATTACAGCATGTTTATGTCGCTGACACGCATCGCATTTTGCTACGAATTTTTCAACATCTTTCTTTAAACCTGACCAAAAATAATAATTTTTGATATTATTATACATTCTGTTGACTCCCGCGTGTCCACCTGTTGGTATCATGTGAAAATCGTTCAAAATTAATACTCTAGTTTCTTTATTTGTCACGTTTATTTGGTTTCTGATAACATTAATTTTTACTCCACCTTCACGAAAAACGTATAACTTCCCTACTATATAATCAAACAACTGTTTTTCAATATTATCTTTAATCTATATTAATAAAAATGAATCGCCGAAATGTATGTACGCCCATAACTTGAGAACGACCGCACCGAATCGGACGATTCTTTTTTTTACGTGTTCCTTATCGTCAGGAGAAGGTTTATGTGTAAGAATATTTATGAAAAATGAGACCGGTTAAAGATAAAAAAATTTTAAAAATTTTGCACGGGAATCGCCATTTCGAATCAATTTAAATAGTTGGCCATTCCTGACGGAACTGTCGCCTGACTGACGTGTCACACAAAACTATTTCTTCCGTGCGATTGTGAAAAGTATTATTGCATTTCAAGTCGTTGTTTGTTTTTTCGTAACAAAAAACGTCGTTTATTTTAAGAAAAGTGTTGATTAAAGCGAATTTAGTTACGCATTGCGAAAGTTTCTTATTAATTTTGATCTGCCATTCTATTTACGAATATTCACTTTGTTGGTTTCGACAAAACCTCAACCTTTACCGTTATTCGAGGAGTTAATTTGAAATTTTCGATATTTTAAAATTCTCAAGACAAAATTTACAGATTTGATTAACTGCGAAAATAATTCTGAAGTTCATTACAACGCCGAGAAGACGACAAGCTGACATAGGTCCACAAAGTCAATGAAATGTGCGACGAACTACCTCAGGTGCAAATCGCAATGATTTATTTCATGGGTAATTCGGATACGGAAGTTGATCAGCGTTGTGCTCATAATCAACATAATCAAACATTGAAGCGAGACATTGGGTGGTATGAATAAAAGTGAGTAGATACTCATATTCAAAGTACGAAGTACCTAGAAAGAGTAATAATCTTATATACCTGAGCATCTACTCTATGTACTGAGTACCTACTTGGAAACATTGTATCTCCCCGGACACAAATTGAACATCTACCTACGCGTTTTGTCAGCATTTAATCTAAAAATGAGCATCGGCGTGGCAAATGACTGAACTGTCTGTAAAGCAGCTTAGAAAACGAGTAGGATCGTTGTAAAAGTGAATTTTAACTAAACATGGATACTTTCATGAACGTGGAGCGCCGTCAAAAGGTGCATTCAGTTTGAAAAACACATTAGCAGCGGGAATATCGAAAACTTTTCAGGTAATTAACTTTTATTTATGCATAAATTGTGCAGTACGTTTTTTCTAACACTGGCCATAGAGATTCCCATCTCAAGGTGTCTACCCCATACTAACTTATATTTTGGTGACTGGATTTTTGCCTTGATGGTTGAACACTGTCAATGTTTTCCTTTTTGTTGTATCGAGATGCTACTTGACCATCAACCTACTGAAGTATTAGCATCATCTAGAAAAACTAGAAATATTTTGATTTGATATTCGAGTATGAGCATCTACTGAGTTTTATTTATATCAACCATTGTCAAACAACTGATCGAACGTTTTTTCGATAAAACTTCCTTCGCACCAAAAGTATAATGTAACATATTCAGCATTTTCGAGTTGCGTCTTTTCTTCACACAATTTTGTGATGACCAAATCAACATTTACAATCAACACGTATATCACCTTGGATTGGTGCAGTGTAACTAATACTAAAAATAACTGTATTGTATCTCCAATATTATCTGGGAAAATCAAGTGAGCCGTCCCATCAATTTTCAATGATAAACAATTTACCATGCTTACAATAACTTTAAAACGTCTGCAAGATCTCAAAGTATTCATTTCTGCAACTCTTGAGTTATTCTATAAAATAAATTGACTGATCCATATATTTTTTTAAGTCACTGTAGAAGCAAATCTAAAAAATTGGTCTAAAGAGTTTAGACAGTACTTCCCTCGCTGTCGGAAACGTGACGACTGCATGTCTATTATGTTTTTTTTTTGCAGTGGATTTCAAAGCATTCGGTTTTGTAGTTCCTGAGTAAACCAATAAAATAAATTTACGCATTCATTTTTTTTTTAGTCACTCGGTATATGCAAATTCAAAAAATGTGAATGGAATGATAAATTACAAGTACAGACTCATGATATTTTGTATATTCTAGATAGGATTTATTCGGCAAACTTTTGAGCTGACGTCATCAGTTTTTTGGAGAAGATAACCCCATATATTTTGACTAAAAATGTATTATGCTCTTTATAACCTTAAAACATTTGCAAGATTTCAAAACATTCGGTTCTGTAGTTCCTGATTAAATCAATAAAATATATTTACACATTCATTAATTTTTTTGGGTCACTCTGTATATGCATATCCAAAAAATATGAATGGAAGGATAAATCACAAGGAGAGACTCATCATATTTTGTACAGTTTAGATAGGATTTATTCGGCAAACTTTCGAGCTGACGTCATCACTTTTTTTTAAGGGGATAAGCAAATATATTTTGACTAAACATTTATTATGCTCTTTGTAACCTTAAAACATCTGCAAGATTTCAAAGCATTCGGTTTTGTTGTTCCTGATTAACTCAATAAAATAAATTCACGCATTCATTAATTTTTTGAGTCACCCTGTATATGGAAAACGAAAAAATTTGAATGGAATGATAAATCACAAGAAGAAACTCACCATATTTTGTACATTTTAGGTAGAATTTATTCAACAAAATTTTGTGGTGACGTCATAAATTTTTTTAGGGAGGACGACCAAATACATTTTGATAAAAAATTTACAATGCTTATGATAATTTTAAAACATCTTTAAGATTTAAAAGCATTCGGTTTTGTAATTCCTGAGTAAATCAGTAAAATACATTTACTCATTCATTAATTTTTTTGAGTCACCCTGTATATGCAAATACAAAAAATATTAATGGAGTGATATATCACAAGTACATGCTCATCATATTTTGCACATTTTAGATAGGATTTATTCGGCAAACTTTTGAACTGACGTCATCAAGTTTTTGGAGGGGATAACCAAATATATTTTGACTAAAGATTTATGATGCTCTTTATAGCCTTAAAACATCTGCAACATTTCAAAACATT